TTTTTATTTATGATTAAAATTTATCTCCTCTACCTGCGGCACTGTAGGATAAGCCCTGGACTATTAGCTGCAAGGTCAGTGGTTCCAACTCACAAGTCGCTCCTCGAGAACCCTATACAGAGTCGCTATGAGTTGGAACACACAGCACTTAGTAGTTTGAGGAGCCTCTGGGTGACACCAGCGGTGAAGCGGGCTCGAGTCCACACATAGGTGTTTCAAAAGAAAGCCCTGGCTATCTCCCTCTGGAAGGTCACTACCTGAAAAACCCCATGGAGTGTGTTTCTCGTCAGACACGCGAGAGTCCACCACGTGTTGAAATGGATTTTGGTCACTGATAGTTCGCCCTTGAAATTTTGTTGGTACTTCATTCATCAGTTAATTTTTGCATATTTGCTGTGGAGTCTCTAGGTGGGCCACGCCATTAGTTTTCATACTCGCTGTTAACCAAAAGTATGGAGGTTCCAGTTTACCCAGAGGTATCTCCGAAGAAATGCCTGGTGATCAGCTTGTGAAAAATCAGCCATTGGTAATAGCATAGAGCGCAGTTCTAGTCTGACATCTGTGAGGTTGTCACGAGTCGACGTTGACTCAACAGCAACTCGTTTCTTTCCTATGTTGTTGTTGTTGTTAAGTGCTGGCATAACGAACCTGTATGGGATTTCTGAGGCTTTTTAAATCTTTGCAGGAGCAGAAAGCTTCATCTTTCTCCCACTGGCAGACTTGAACTGCGGACCTTATTCGCAGTCCATTGTTTATCGTACACTACATGCTAGCTATTATTTAGGAGTCCTGGTGTGGCACTGTAGGATAAGCACCTGACTGCCCACCACAAGATCGGAAGTTCAAGCACACCAGTTACCGGAAACCCTATACAGGGTCTCTGTGAGTCAGAACAGATTGATGGTACTTAACAATAGCAAAAAGCTACTATTTGAGGGAGACCTGGTGATACCATGGGGTAGCACTGTGCTGTTAACTGAAAGGTTGGTGGTTTGAACCCACCAACGGCTCTATGAGGAAAAGATGAGGCTGTCTACTTCCGTAAAGATTTCCAGCCTCAGGAACCCTCTGGGGGCGGTTTAGTCTGTCCACAGAGTGGCTGTGATTCGGGACCAACTTGAGGGCGGTAGGTTTGCTGTTTTGCTGTGACTACTGTTCAAACAGCACGTCAAGGTGTTGGCAGACAGAGTGAAGAGAAGCTCATTTCTTCACTGACTTCTCCATCTTCTGAGGCCTGACAGCAGGTAGCAGCTAAGAGCAGAACTAACGTGGTTTTGTTTGTATTTCCCCTTTATCTCCTGTTTCCCTCTCGAGAGGCCTGCTGTGGCTGGTGGCAGCCCACCACAGTCTGAAGCCACCCAAGGTGTCATGGTGTGTAGTGTGTGGCACTGACCACAGAGACACTTTGGTGTGTACTTGTGGGAGCCTCTGGGGTAACACCCCGACATTTAGTCACATAAAATGACTGCTGTGGGATTCTGGGGGTTCGCTGGTCTTTGGCACCTAAGTACTTTGGAAAAGAGCTAATTTGCTTATTTGGGCTCAAAGCCAAGCTGCAATCATACCCACCCTAGGGGGGAGTTCCCCGCAAGTATTCCAGGAAGTCTTGGAGCGTGGGTGTAGGAGTATTAGAGAAGCAAAATTTCCACAGCTCTTCAGTGGTGGATCTGACCTAAAAGGCAGGGCTCAGTGTTTTTGTAGGGCCTTCACTACTAGATAGAAGGCTCACCTCACCTGTCCACCTTTCCCAGGGAGGACATCTGGCTTTTCTTCTGTCCCTTCTGGTCACGTTGGCTGCAGCGTGGGAAGTTATGTTCAGTAAGGGTGGCTGTTGGTTGTGCCAGGCACACAGCAGTGGGTTTTAGCACCTGTACCATTCATTGCATTTCAGTCTACTTGGATCCACAGTCAACACTCATGGAAGTAGCAGTCAAGAAATCAAGCGATGTATTGCATTGCACAACTCTGCTGCACAAGACCTTTTTAAAGCTTTAAAGAGCAAAGATGTCAGTTTGAGGACTAAAGTGCGCCTGACCCAAGGCAAACCATGGTGCTTTTGATGACCTCACATGCACATGAAAGCTGGTCAGTGAGTCACTAAGACTTAAGAAGAATTGACCCATTCCAATTGTGTTGTTGGTTTGTTGTTGTTAGGTGCCATCGAGTTAGTACTGACTCATAGTGACCTTATGCACAGCAGAATGAAACACTGCCCGATCCTGGGCCAACCTCACTACTGTT